TTGTCGCACAGATGTGAATGAAGTGATCGTCAATTGTTTGTTACGATTAAACCATTTGAAACAAGTATTCATTTGGACCAATAATAATGACCACGAGTTCAACAAATTATATTCACAACAGTTGTGGAAAAAGACTGGAAAGTGTTGTTTTGTTGAATCCCGTAATTATGATAATTATTAACATTAATGTTATGCCTATAACTCGATGGATGATTAAATGGTTTACTATTATAATTAGTCCATTCAGTACTATTGACATCAATTACTGTACATATTGTCAATTTTTTAAAACAAAACTCAACTTTATAATAAATATATTTCATGCTTTAAATATTTGTGAACAAAATCAATTGATTGATTGCAATTGATTTGTAATCGTGTTTATCATAAATTACTAATCAATTTTATAATCTCTTTGAGATCTTATTTATAATTATGTCATTAATATTGCATTTAATCAGTTTTCCAATACTTTTTATAATAACATTTCAATTAACGTTACTATAATTGATAAAATATTAATATTCGTATAAATAATTATTGTATTTAATTTAAAATTATAAGCCTGTGTTCATTACAATTAGTTCACTGTATATTTGAGTGTAAAATCTATACTTCGTTATAATAAACGATTTTATATCACATATTGTGTACACATATTTCACTTCACAATCCATTAGATACAGCACTGGAAGTAACAACTCTTTCACTCCGAGTTATGGCTTCTCTGTGTTTTTCAACCCCTGTATTAACCAATGCTTTATATTTTAATTGCTTTTAAAATAAATAATTTAATTATTAATACATATTATTTCCTATACTTTATTCGCTAATAATTAGGGCTAGAAATGAAATTTTTAATGTATATTTCAACATGATTCCTTTATGAGATTTTACATTATATGAGATTAAGGTGCAAAATATATAAAATTACACTTTAATATATAGTTTTTTCCACCAAAGTTTCACTTTTTTTCTAGCCATACTAATAATTTCGCACAACTTCTGGATCCAATCAATTGATAATACATTGTATAACATATTGAATTCACTACCATTTCCTGTCAACAGATGTCTCACTCTATGTCTGACTCCAAGTCTGAAGTTTTGTTGCGATTATTGTTTGTAAACAAAAGTCTTTGAATTATAAACACGTGTTTTAATTGAGTTTAATTAAAGTTATAATTATTTTATTAATAATTCACTGAATTTATGAGAAAGTAATTGTGATTTCATTTGACATCAAAAGTGATTGAAAACTAATTGATTGTATTTAATGGCTATAAATGTGTGAGTATTTCAATAATCAATTGATTGTATATTTAAGACAAATATTATTGCAAACAATCATTGATTACATAATTATTTCCACAAAAAATATTTCAATAATCAATTGATTGTATATTTAAGACAATTATTATTGCAAACAATCATTGATTACATAATTATTTCCACAAAAAGGTATTCAAAGGACTCTTTCGATAGATTTGGAGACGACTTATGCCTACAGTTGTTGTCTTTCCTCACATTTGAAGACCGATTCCGTTGTGAATGTCTATCAAAACAGTGGCGAAGACTTGTATTCAATACACAGAAAGACATTCATTACAGTGAAGACAACAATTGGTCTGATTTGTCGACATTTGAGATGATATTAAAGAAATGTCAAAATATAACACATTTGCGAAATTTGGTTTATACAACACCTCTGTTCGGCGGATCAAACACTTGGCATATAACGGATCCAAAGCTGGAGTTAATTATAAAACATTGCCATAAATTGCAATCAATTTCTATTCATTGGCGAAAAATTAGTGTTGAAATGATTGATAAGTTTTTCGCAAAGTTTGCCAAACAATTAAAATCAATTGATTGTCACACAAGTGATGATCAGTTAAAACAGACATTACTCGTGAAGAATACGAAGAATTGCCAGAATTTGCTACAATTGCGGATCGATATGCCTATGTTTTTGCATTCATTTACTGATGAAAATGAAGTTTTCTATAAAAATATGGTTGACTTTCGCTTCATATATAGACCCGAAGACACGACAAGAATCGATACTTTTGTTAATTACTATAAAAATAGTTTGAAAGTAATAGACATAACAATCGACAGATCGTGTGACAAAAAATCAATTGAAATATTAATGAAAGGATTGACACAAATGGCAGAAATGAAAACTTTTCGTGTGTTATATTTTTCAAACGACGATTCATTGAAAATGTCGGCATTGAATGCAATGAAACAAATTGGTGTCAATTGTCGTAAACTAAAGCAATTAAGTCTTATTATGGCATACAATCCGTCGTATATAATGTCGGATATTATCAACAAATACTTCCGACAAATACAACGACTGAGGATATCAACACATCCAACACAAGACATTCACATAACGTGTGAAGTATTCAAAGAATGTAAACGATTAACACATTTAAGCTTAAGTTTCAGAAAAAACAACACAATTGGCGCCGAATTCTTCACTGATATCGACAAATATGTGCCAAAACTGACAGATATTCACATATTTGGGCTTAAAGTGAATGAAGAGGTCATCAATTGTTTGTCACAATTAAAACATTTGACTAAAGTCTTCATTCAAACCGATTTTATGGTCAATAAATATCCCATAATATGTTCACAACAATTGATTAACAATTGCCCGAAACTAATCAAAATATTTATTAGTTAAATGTGAATTTGAAACAACATTTGAATATATTTAACAAAATAATTGATATGACACTAAATATACGTTTTGTAAAATTACAACTTATAAATTGTTACTTCAAACCAATAGATTTATTGCAATTAATTCATTGATTTAGAAATATGTTTCTCATTAACTAGTAATCAATTTTACACACACTTTATGATTTCATCTAAAATTATAACATTATTTTTGTATTCATTTTGTTTTCTAATACTTTATTAATAAATGATATTTGAATTAATTATTATTATTTAAAAATCTGTCTTTAATTTAAGTTTGTTTATAAATAAACGATTAAATGATATTTCTTTAGAAATAATGTTAAAATCTAAAGTACACTCCGTTATAATAAACGATTTTATAGCACATATGGTGTACACATATTTCACTTCACTATCCATTAGTAGACATAAAAAGTGAAACTTTTTTGTTAAATAAAAGTAAAAAACGAAATGAAAGTTATATTCATAGGGAAAGTACTGTCGTGAGAGCACAGGTACGTCCAAAACCCCACCTATTACTGTGTGTCCACACATTTGAATGTCTTTTTTCTCGGTATTTGATCCCAAAAAAGACCGAAAAAATTATACCTTTTTTGTGTTCATCTGACAAAAAAATCTCACTTTTTTCTCAAAGTCTATAAGACCTTCAATACCTTTAAATGCTTGCTTATACACAATCTGTTGGGCCATACCATCCAAGCCCTTACATACCACTGGTAGCGTAAATAAAAAGTAGCGAAAATGTGATTTTCCTTCGCCGAATAGTAACGTCCAGAAATTGTCACGTTTTATGTTGAATAAACTTAAATAAATTTATATGCGATTTCATTACGTATTTTATGCACGAAGAAAAATCACATTTTCGCTACTTTTTATTTACGCTACCAGTGGTACTGGACCTCTTACTCTGTAGTGCTGTTAAGCAATGGATTTATTTATTGGTCTAAATTTTTAATATTAATTGTAATACATATTAATTTCCTATCATTTCTTCGCTAATATTGGTTACAATTTGTGCACAACTTCTGGATCTGAGACTCAATTCAGTCCTTATTAGAGACTACACTCAGAGTATTATATCGCAATATAACTTTAAAGGCAGGAGGATTAGTAGTGTTAATTATCACAGCATAGAGCAGTGCACTTCTTCACACATTGATGGCAAATGCAACCCTTTTTGTGAACTAGGTGCGAAAAAAATTGCATTGTTTTATGCTGCTCTAATCCACTACTAATCCTCCTGCCTTTAGTTTTATATTGCGATATAAAATTCGGGCTGTATATGTGTATTGAATGCCATTTCCTGTCAACAGATGTCTTATTATTACTCTATGTCTGAAGTTTTGTTGCGATTATTGTTTGTAAACAAAAGTCTTTGAATTATAAACACGTGTTTTAATTGAATTGAATTAAAGTTATATTTTTATAATTTTGTTAACAATTCATTGAATTTATGAGAAAGTAATTGTGATTTCATTTAACATCAAAAGTGATTGAAAACTAATTGATTGTATTTAATGGCTATAAATGTGTGAGTATTTCAATAATCAATTGATTGTATATTTAAGACAATTATTATTGCAAACAATCATTGATTACATAATTATTTCCACAAAAAGGTATTCAAAGGACTCTTTCGATAGATTTGGTGACGATTTGTGCGAAGAGTTGTTGTCTTTCCTCACATTTGAAGACNGATAGATTTGGTGACGATTTGTGCGAAGAGTTGTTGTCTTTCCTCACATTTGAAGACCGATTCCGTTGTGAATGTCTATCAAAACAGTGGCGAAGACTTGTATTCAATACACAAACAGATATGCATTGCATAAAAAGGAACCATTGGTTTGATTTGTCGACATTTGAGTTAATACTCAAGAAATGCAAAAATATCACACATTTAGGAGAAGTCAACGGATATAGGGCTTCATTTAGTGCTCCGCTTATAACGGATCCAAAGCTGGAGTTAATTATGAAATATTGCCATAAATTGCAATCAGTTTCTATCGATTGGCAATATATTACTTTTGAAATGATTGACAAGTTTTTCGCAAAGTTTGCCAAACAATTGAAATCATTTAGTTGTGACAAACCGTGTAATCCATTACAGAGGAAAGCAATTGTGAAGAATATGAAGAATTGCAATAATTTGATTGATTTTGACATTAAGTTTATTGAAGAATTTGATTTGTTTTCATTCATAATTAGTGATGAAAATGAAGTTTATTTTAAAAATATGGTTGACTTTCGCTTCACTTATAGACCCGAAGACACGACAAGAATCCATACTTTTGTCGATTACTATAGAAATAGTTTGAAATCAATTGTCATAACAATCGACATCTGGTGCGACGAGAACTCAGTGGAAGTATTATTGAAATGTTTGTCACAAATGAATGAAATGAGAAAAATTCGCATTTATTTTGATAATAACGACGAAACCTCTGATGAAGTGTTATTTGAATGTTTGAAACAAATTGGTGTCAATTGTCGTAAACTCCGGGAATTACACATTGATATGAATGAAATGCCAGTCGACGCCTCGTATCTAATGTC